TCTTCTCCCTAATTTCGTGAGTCAGTTCCTTAAAGTCCCTCCCTCTGGGCTGGAAGGCCACCTGGAGGTCCGAGGATTTGCTAGTGCCAATTCCCTGACTTGATCAGGGCAGTGGCAAACATGAAGGTCACACGTGCCTCCAAGAGGAGCAATTATTATGTGCAAGCTAGAGGGAAAACAGAACGAAGAACGTGACAGGCAGCTTTTCGGGGTAGGACGCAAGGCCAAGGCGGATTGCCCTATTTACTTTCCTCACTAAGGCTAGGAAAGGTCCCTTTCTAAGCATGCTGCTGGCTCTGCGTGAACATGCGTGATCACTCCCCACCTGAGCCTGACACTGTTAAGACAAGAGAGTAGAACAAGGTCCTGTGCTCGGAATGTTCGCTGTAGCCCCAGGCCTTTGCCTACGAAGCCCTTGCTTCTGCACGCTCTCTCTCCGTGCCCTTCATCAGCTCTCACCTGTGTCTGTGGGTCTCTGTGTAATCATCCGATTGGCTTTGCCTCTGCCTGCATCTGTATTCATACCTACATCACATCACCTACCTGCCTACCTGTGTCCTGTGTGACTGTAGTTAAGCACACGGCTGTGTCTACACCCTGCATCCACAGGGACGTGTCTACACTCTGCATCTATCTATGCTTATGGCTGGCTGCCTCACCGCTAGGTGGATGCAGTGGTCTCTTTCTCAGGAGAGCCCTGTGCCACAGGCTCTTTTCCATGCTGTGTCAGGGTTTGGTGGTGTTCTCAGAAAGTGCTTGTTTATCACCGAATAGCGAACATAGTTTCCCATAGTTTTCTCTGGTCTGGCGTTGATCCTCTTGGTCTTATCTTGCTTTTGGTTCTTACAGCAAGGGCAGGAAACCATCCCCCCTTTTGTTCATTCTCTTTTTTCAATATATATTTTTATTGAATTTTTGTGCATTTCATGCAATGCATCTTAATCGTATTTAGCTCTCCTCCCCGCAGCTGGCCTACCAGATTTTATGCATTCTGTCATATATCGGCCCGAGAGAATACTAATGCACCTCTCAGCTCTCTACAGTGACGCTCCCTTATGTAATGGAGGGCAATGAACACAGAAGGCCACAACTGGCCAAGGTGTAGAGAGTAAGAGGCTGCAGAGTGCCTGTCCTTGAAGAGGACTCCTGTATTAAACCTCATCCGCCCAGAGCTCAGGAACCATTGTGGAAGAGGGGGTGGGAAGATTGTTAGAGCCACGGGTGGTACCTGGTCACTTTTGAGGTGTTGTGTGCCATTCGGAATAAACTCAGCCAGTGTACACCCAGAGGCCCAGCTGTGAATGGTGGCCCAGAACACAGCTGGGCACTTGTAGACCTGGGTCCCTCCTGCTGGGCACTTTGGCCTAGATCCTGCCAGGTCTGCAGGTCCTGCAGCCTCAGTCCTCAAGCTCAGGAGCATGTGTATGGAAGCCCTCTGGACCCTAGGCATGTGACAGGTGGAGACTCCACAGGCCGGGGCAGGCCTGTTGAACCCATGCTTTCGGTACGGGTGGACGTGTGTCCTGTTTGTTGCCACAGCTGAAAACAGACGCTTCTGCCGAGAGGCTGCCTGTCCGGGGGCTGTGGGTGCAGTTGAGCTGTGAAGCGTGGCAATGGCTGCAGCCTGTGTGACAGGGTTGATTTACAGTCTGTGGCTTTAGTGCTGAGAAAGGCATCAACCCGCAGTCCCGTAGGGGCCCCGAGGCCACAAGGCTGTCACATATCTCCAGCAGATAGATTTCTGTAGTGGGCGAAACTTCCTAAATGAGGAAAGGGAAGCGCGTGGGGCGGGAGGCACATCCTGGGTAAAGGTCTGCGAGTTCACATGGCAAGACTGGGTCTGTGCTTGACCAGTCCTGGCCCTGGCAGGGTGTGCTAGACAGGAGTTATGGGCATCACTGTGATTTTTTAATAATACTTTCTACCCTGAGAAAGCTGTAATGAACCGAGCCCAGCCTCTCAGGACTGCATGGGGCTCACGCCTTGGCACCCCATACCCCCTCTGGTCACCCAGTGGCTTGTGGATGGAGCTCCGGTGCAAACACAAAGCCAGAGGGGAAGCTGCGAGTCGCCTCTTGGGGAAAATGGGTGGTGGCTGTGATTCTTCCAGGTGGCCGTCTCCAGCAGGCTGCACTGGGCAGACTTGGGGCAGGTACCAAGCCAGTACCTCCTCCAGTCTGCGGACTCCATGACACGCTGACCACTGAGGTCATTTGTTTGTTCATTCATTTATTCATTCATTTATCCATCTGGCTCTCCTGAATTTTTACTCCCTGGGCTCTGGAATCAGAGTAGGAAACAGATGGACACATGAGAGAGGGTGTCTGAGGTGATGCCAGGGAAGAAGAACCCACTGGCACCTTGTAAAAGGCACTGGCTATTGAAGTGTGGGGGCCTCAGAGGGCAGTAGCCTGCAGTGTAGCAGTGACTCCGAACTCCAGACCAGCTGGGCCTGAAGGACATACTTTCTGTCTCTGCAGTAGGTTGTGGTAGCAGTCAGGTGCTTTGAAAGGACCGTGTTAGCCTGTGGTACAGATACAGAACAAGACTTAAGGGGACGATGGCTTAAGGTTGGCAGCTTCCACAGGCAGCCTGGAGAGAGGGTGGACACGGGTCTTGTTGTGTGGATTGTCAGGTGATAGTCACTGCTGACCACAGAGAAGGAAAGAACCTCTTCATGGAATCAAGGAGAAAAGAGTCTGACTCGTCTGTGGTGGGAGGGCGACCTATGGTTCCCAAACCCATTGAAGGGGCTGCTTCAATGTCTGTGCCAGGACTGTGCTGAGTGCTGAGTGCTGAGTGCTGAGTGCTGAGGACAGCAGGCATGACACGAAGACCCTGTGTTTTTGTCCTTAGCCTCCTAGATGAGACATGCAGCTCCAAACTAGCCCCAAACTGAGGTGATAGGGCATGGAGGGCAGAGGGTGCTCCCAGGGGAGGCAGGGCCAGGGGTCTGCTGCACTTAGAGTACTCGGTTGGCTTCAAGCAAAGAAAGAGGGTGGGAGACGGCATGATCCTCACCACTGGGTCCTGGCTGCTCAGGAAGAGCAAAGGCCATACGTACTCTGCATCCGCAATGGGGCAGGAACAGGAGTGGGATGGCTGTGGTCAGGGTCACAGTCAAGGTCCCGAGCCTTGGTGAGGACTTGCCTCTAGGACATGAGCAGGAAGCCTGCATGGTGGAGGTGCAAGGTTCAAGGCTGTAGCCTGCAGGGTCCAGGAGCAGTAAGGACACAGGCCTCCACCGCAGCAGTTTAGTGAGAATGAGGAGAAGGCAGCTCCAGGCTCTGCAGCTGCCTTTGCTGCCAGGCGGGAGGGCCGAGGCCCAGGTTGGGCAGAGCAAGTCCCAAGGGAGCAGCTTGCAGAGCACAGGTTGCTGCCGAGGTGACCACACGGGACTGAAAGAACACAGCTCCCCAGGTATGCCGAGGGATGCTGGCAGGGTGATGAGGGACAGAGAGGACAGTGGAGGGAGGATGGGCTGGGTGGTGATGAGAGAGTCCCAGGTCCATCACCCAGTGGCTGTAAGGCAAAACCACTAGCCAGGGCAGTGGTGCTGTCCCTCGTCACCCACCCCTCCCCTTCCAGTTCTGGAGCTGCATTCCGTGGGCTGCGGCCTCTTGGTCCAGCCTCCTGGCCAGCGGCACAGCCTCTGCCTCTAGTGCCACACCACACGGTATCGTGTCTCCTGCAGCCTCTCTCATGAGGACGTATGATCACACTCAGGGCCTCCAGGGACCCCCACCTAAGGGCCCTTCAGTCAATCATACCTGGCCTGGCTTTTAGCCACGGAAGATCCCAGCACCACAGGTTACAGTGTTCAAGGACACCTCTGGGGACCCTTGTTCAGTCACCCACACCAGCTCCCAGTGACTTTGGTGGGTGGCACGAGCCTGGCCCCAGTCCAACATGTGGCACGTGAGGCCGCAGAGCAGGCTGAGATGTGGATTGTGAGTATACGGATGTGATTGGGAACCAGGACAGCAGGAACTCACCAGGGACAGTGAGAGGGACAGCCGGCGAGGAGGGGAAAGATTGTGTCCTAATGTACCCTAGGTCCTGTTCCCACCACAGAGGATAGGGCCCAAGATCAGGCAGTTGGCTGACTCTGAGCTCCCTCCCGTATCCCTGTGACTTCACCTGGAGTGGGGAAATGGCCAGGGTCCCATCCAGGCTCTGTCATGACATGGGATGTTAACTGATGTCTTGATGTCTTAGTCTTCTTGAGAGGCTACCAAAAATACCTTGAACCAAGTGGCTCATAAACAACTAAAATGTGTTTCTTACTGTTCTTAGACTGGAAGCCTGAGATGAAGGTTCCAGCAGCTTCTGTGTCCTATAGAACTTGTTTCAATGTTCATGGACAGCTCTGTCTCGTTGTATTCTCACCCTCGGAAGGAGTGAGGGGTCTTCCTGGGCTCTTTGGCAAGGGCACTACTCCCAGTCACAAGGACTCCACACTTGTGAGCTCCTGATGCCATCACATTAGCATGAGGATGCCGGCATATGAATGTAGGGGAATGTCTAGTCCTCAAGCAGGTTAACAGGATTCCCATTCCTGACACCTAAGGCTCTGGTATGTGTGTGTGTGTGTGTGTGTGTGTGTGTGTGTGTGTGTGTAGCCATGTGTATGTATGTACACCTGCCTGTGTTGCATGCGTGTGTATTTGAGGGGGAGCGATGTGCACACATGCGTGTGTGTGCATAGATGCTTATGTGTGAGCTGTACATGGGACTGTGAGAGGACAACTGTACCCTGGGAGGGGGAGAGAGTCTCTCAACCCACTGACTCAGAACAGTTTTCCTCAGTGCGGCAGTAGTACCGCTCCAGTACGACCTGTCCACGGCTGGCCCCAGGCCCTCGTGCGTTTTAACCTGCGGTATCCAGACTGTGGGGACAAAGAAGTAGGAGGCAGGTGAAGGGAACCGGTGCATGTTTATGTGAGGATGGCCGAGGCTGCAGCAAGCACAGCTGGCTCCAAGGGAGGCAGGGGGTGGTGACAGGCAGGGCCAGGGCAGCGGGGCACCCGTTTCGTCTGCAGCCAAGGATGTCCATCGTCCTGGGTCTGGGAGGCTGCATGGACAGAAGGACGTTGGGAGGAGGGCTTGGGGTCGAATTCCGTCATGGAGGGCATCCTTTCCATGGAGGGAAATCCCCGTGAGGGAAAAGCGTCCTTCTCTGAGGCCTAAAGACGCCGGTTTCCTTGGCTACTTCACCTGCCAGAGAGCCCTGGGGTTAGACAGGGGCTGTAGTATGAAGACTGGGCAGGGCCCAGGAGCCAGAATGGGGCCCATGAACTGGGTACCGTCCATACCCCAGAGGCGACTGGTACATCCCGCAGCCCTGTCCCCGAATTGCTGACACGCCTCCGAATGCCCCCGAAGGGCGTCTTGCCACCCTCCTCCCCTGAGGCAGAGGAGAAGGCCCACCTTGATGAAGGTGACGAAGCCGCTGTAGAGCAGCGTGAGCAGGAAGAGCGCCACGAAGGTGCACAGAGTGGGCCACAGGCCGCTCTCATCCTCCAGGTCTGTGTAGTCGGGGCTGTGCTCATCCCTGGCCCACAGGGTCAGGATGGTGGGGACGACTGTGCCTGGGGAGGAACCAGTGTCTGTGAGGTCCCCATCCCATAGCAGGGCTTCTCCTTATCCGCCCACCTCAGGTGTGCTGAACCGAGGTGTAGTCCTGCCACGGACAGCCCTCTTTACACATCGACCTCCCCACTAGTACCTACTGCCTACTCCCTTCCTAGGAACTGCTTTTCCCCACAGGACCCTGCTAACCACCTTCCCCACATCCTGCTGGGCCCTAGAGTCTCTCACACAAAGCAACCCGGGTGGATAGACCTGAACCCAAGCCTGTTTATGAGTGCTTCTATGCTGCCGCCACCTTAGGGGGCAGAGAGGTGGGAGCTAGTTAAGGAGACCAAGGTGTAGTTGCTAGGGCAGGTACGGCCAGGAGAGGCCTCGTCAAGGGAGATGTGGCATCAGTGATGAGACAGTGTTAAGCAGATAGAGAGAAGGGAACAGCACACTAAGAGAACAGTGTGCATGGTGCCCCCACTGAGGGAACAGCACACTAAGAGAGGGAACAGTGTGCATGGTGCCCCCACTGGAAAAGAACCCGCCCTGGGAGTGGGGGCACAGAGCCTTGGAGGGTAGAACGGGAGATCTGAAAGCATCCTAGCCAGGATGGCTATTTACTAAAGGCAACAGGAGGCGGAACAGTGTGCATGGTGCCCCCACTGGAAAAGAACCCGCCCTGGGAGTGGGTAGAATGGGAGATCTGAAAGCATCCTAACCAGGATGGCTATTTACTAAAGGCAATAGGAGGGACTGAAGATTTAAAGGAAGGTTATGTCATAACCAAATGTATACATAAAATTCCCAGCCGGAGACTAGAGTGTGGTCTGAGGTCATTTGGGGATGGCTGTTGTGTAGACCCAAGAAGACATTTCTGCAGAAAGCACACCCTAACTCAGGGTGAGAAATCCCCGGGCCAGTGGAAAGAATTGAAGGAACCGCAGGAGTGGCAGGGCTGCCTGGTTGTTCAGTCTACAGGGGCTGTATGAGGCGTACTGTGCACTCAGCCAGAATGACTGTGAAATTGGTGGATGTGCTGGCCTAGGGCTGTTTCACAGGACAAAGGCAGTAAGTGCAGAAATCATGTGATAACCAGAAACTCTTACAGTAGCCTGTGGGGTCCTAACACAGGAAAAAATCAGCAGGCAGTCTCTTCTCTCCAGAGTTTCCATAGTTAGAGTTACCTATGGTCAACCATCATCAGAGAATATGAAGTTGAAACTTCACCAGTTCCAGATCAGACAGTGTTCAGGGGAGCAGCCTGATGGGATCTTTCCCTGCCTGGAGGGCCAGCGTCCCTTTGTTCGGCCTTCACGCTCCGCCTGCCTGTCGGTCACTCAGGACCCACTGTGGCCACAGGTTGACTGCCGCAGTGACACAGGGCTTGGCACCACCCACAGTCTCAGGCATCAGCTGGAGGTCTTGGAACAGGTCCCACAGGGTCACGCCATCTTTCTAGTGATCATTTCTTACTGCGATCTACAGAAGTATTGCTCTATAGCGTACTGAGAATTTGGAAAAAGCAGCTTTGTTTGCCTCAGGTAGTGTGAGGCACCTGGAATAGTAAATGGACCAGTCAGACAGCTGGACATAATGGCCACTGAGTTCAGAGCATTACCACCCAGACCAGGGCAGGAGCAGCAGGCCTCCTGGGAGGGGTATCTGATTCAGGCGGAGGTCAGTGGAGTCCTACACACATGGTAAAACCTCGGACAAGTGAGCAATTTGGAAGGTGTCTGGGTGAGGAGGGCAACTCTGAGAAGGCCTGCGAGTGGGAGAAATTGGGTTCCAGTGATGCCCTCGTAGGTCTGGGGTTTCTCCTTGGGGCACTGTGGGTCTGACCCCATGATCCCATGTACTGGTTTTTGTCTTGGCTATGCCTCATTGCATGTCTCATAGTTGCCGATTACATTTTAGACATTGTGCATAAATGAACGGTAGAGCTCGGGGTGAAGTACAGGTGTTTATTATTCGCAGAGTGGGCATACCCCTCCTCCATCAGGCGGAGGGGGGATCCTGTTGTTTGGAACTGGGAGCTGAACTGGGCTGGGACTAGAGTTGATTTCTGCTCTGTTTCGGGACAGGCTCAGACCCCTCCACCCGGCAGGGTTTGGAGACCGGAAGAAGCCTGTCAATCTGCTGCTCCCAGCTCTGCTCCCAGAGGCTGCTTGCTCAGCAGTGTCCTGTGTGGGTGGGTAGGTGAGTGGTGATTAGTTTGGTGTCTGGGGCTCTTCTGTGTTCCCATCCCTCCTGCAGCCCAGATGTTCGTTACAATTTTGGCTGGTTTCTCGATGTCCTCTTTCAGATGGCCCACTCCTCTGTCTGCCTGTGCCCAGAACAGGGCAGAGCAGCCATCCCTCTCAGGTAGGTGAGTGGTGATTAGTTTGGTGTCTGGGGCTCTTCTGTGTTCCCATCTCTCCTGCAGCCCAGATGTTCGTTACAATTTTGGCTGGTTTCTTGATGTCCTCTTTCAGATGGCCCACTCCTCTGTCTACCTGTGCCCAGAACAGGGCAGAGCAGCCATCCCTTCTCACCTGGGCATTTAGGCCACCTGGCCTTTGCTGAGTCCTCAGCTCCCTACTGGCTTTACATAAAATTATGCTATTACGTTTGCTGCTGGTTTCCTTTTGCCCTGTCATGAGCACCTGATAGAATGTTGTGCTGGATGCTTTAGTGTCAACCTGACACACCTGGGTTGAGGGAGCCTCAATTGGGGAATTGTCTCCACTGGGCTGGCCTATGGCCATGTCTGTGGGCCATTTTCTTGATTACTGAGTGATGTGGAGGGCCCAGCCCACTGTGAGTGGTGCCACCCTGGACAGGTGAGCCTGTGTTGTACAAGAAAGCAGGCTGAGCAGGGACTGGGGAACAAGGCAGTAAGCAGCGTTCCTCCATGGCCTGTGCTCCAGCTCCTGCCTCCAGGTTCCTGCCCTGAGTTCCTATCTTGGACTCCTTCAGTGATGAACTGTGACCAGGGAGATGTAAGCCAAATAAACCCTTTCCTCCCCAAGTTGGTAGTGGTCAGAGTGTGACCTGGGATATGTAAGATAAAATAAACCTTTCCTCCCCAAGTTGGTAGTGGTCAGAGTGTTTTGTCACAGCAATGGAGAGACAAACTAAGACAAATGTTCTACATTCTGTGTGGAAATGAGGCATCTAAGAGATTGCCTTGGCAGAGGAGAGATGGATGGGTGGGAAGGAGAACTGGCTGCATGGAGATCAGTGGCGCTATTTTTAAGGCCTGATGTGCCTGTGGACAGAAGCAAGAATCTTTGTGGTACTCAGGAGTTGGGGTGACAGAGGGGTGCTGGGTGGGACTCAGGCAGATGTGGCCATCTTATGACATGAGAAGCACGGAGAAGGGGCAGACCTGGGGCCAAAGGGCAGGAGCAGGGGGCGCAGGAGGGGAGATGGAGAGGCAGATGTCAGATGGCCTTTTCTGAAGAGGATGGTGACCACGGTGCATGTCTAGGCCTCCTGAGCATGCTGCCTGAGTGTGGAGGGAGGGGGCCAATGCTGATCTGACGCTAGGATCAAGGAGTGACCTGTAGAGGTCTTTGGAGAGCCCTTGGTGGAAGCACCTGAGGGAGAACCTTAAAGTGCTTTGGAGGAAGCATGGAAGCACAGGCCAGATTCATCTCAGAGCTAAAGGAGCCACTACACTAGGGCAGTCCTGGCCTCCCTCTTCCTGACAGGAGGGAGGTGCACAAGAGGAGCGGAGCTGTGGCTTCTTAGCCGGTACAGTGCAGCTGGATGGCATGCATGGCCTCTGGAGGCCCTCACGCTGCTGTGGCTCTAAGGATCATGGGACCACACAGCAGAACAGGCTCTTGAAGTCTGGGGCCAGAGCTAGCAGGCATTAGCATGCTTGGGCCTGGCCTCCTATGGCTGCTAGAGTCCTACCCTGTCCCCTTGACTGTGTGCCCCTGGGGATGGACAAGCAGTGGCACTGCCAGGGTTCAAATGGGGACGTGTGGCTGCCTTGGACCAAGGCCGGGAAGGTCACTTTGGGGACAGGACCCACCTACAGGCCCTGTGCTGGGTTGCCATCATGAGTGGATGTAGCGATGCCTGCAGAGGCCCTCACAGCCTATTCCATTCCACCACACTCATGCTCAGCAGATCCTTGGTGGGGCCTGCCTGGCACCCTACCCCTAGCTTATGCAAGGCTCACAGCACCCCCGGGTTATGGCCCTGCATGTTCCCCAGTAGACAAGAAAAGAAAACGAGGTGCCTTCAGGTCTGAAGGCATCAGAGAAGCCAGCATCTGAGGAGGACCACAGGGCAGCCACATTCAGGGCATGGGCGCTCAGTCACTGAGCTTCCCGGGTCTTGCTCTATGTGCTGGGGGCACTGGTGTGTGCTTGTGTGGACAGGTGGACAGGTGTTGTGGTGTAACTATTTCCTCCAGATTGAAAGATTCCTTCCTGGAAAGAGGGGGGAGGTTCACAGTTTCAGGAAACTTGTGAAAGCTACAAGGCTCAGGAATCTCAGAGTTTTAAGGCTTATAAGGCCTTTGTTCATGTCTCCCCAGGGAGTCATGTGACACAATTGATAAATGAACAGGGAAACCATAGATGGACTAGGGAGAAGTTGCATGGTCTGTGTGACGGGTGATCGGATGTGCATCTGAGGGCAAAGCATTTGAGGGTCACTCCCAGTATGGCTCCCGTTCATCCTGTGGTATGGGATAGCATGCCTCCTTGTAAAGGTCGTTGCTTGCTCCCTGCTGTGGGTGACAGGACCTGCAAGTCTGAGGAGAGTGGGGCCCTCTGAGGGGAGTCCTGGATGACCGTTTTCCTCTATGTGGCATAGGGTGGCAAGGCTCCTTAAGGAACTGGATGTGCTACGTAAGCATAAGGTTGCCCCTTAAATGACTGTCAGATGAGAGAATATATTGCAGTCCCTGAAAACAGCAGCTATGGTATGTGAAGGAAGGGTATGGGGGAGGGGAAGACATGCAGATAGTATCCTGGACACGGAGGAAAAGAGATGAGAGCAGAGGCCTCTTGCTGTTTTCTAGGGTTGGTAGAGAGAAAAGGAAAGTGTAGAGATTAGATAGATACTTAAGAGGCTTTCCTGAGATCTGAAACTTGGAAACCACAGGGAAAATAAGAGTGAGGACGGACAGGAAAGACGAGTCTCTCAGCCTGGATCGTGAAACTGTGGGGCATGGGGAGAGGATGGGATCAGCTGAGTACCACTAAGGTGGAGAAACTGGGAAATGTAACTATTCATCCTTCCTCGAGTCAAGGACGGCCTTATCTGAGGCAACTCAGTGGAAATTGGTGCCTCATGGAAGAGAAGGTACAAATTACACCTGTGCTCAAAAGCTCTTTCTGGGCTACAAAAACTTGGGACACATTATGGACACTTGGCTATCACTGGCTGGAGTCCCCATGACCTGGGACACATTATGGACACTTGGCTATCACTGGCTGGAGTCCCCATGACCTGGGACACATTATGGACACTTGGCTATCACTGGCTGGAGTCCCCATGACCTGGGACACATTATGGACACTTGGCTATCACTGGCTGGAGTCCCCATGACCATGAGGGACTGAAAGGCAGTAGAGCTAGGAAGGCATTACTGAAGGAAACACGTATTGAGAAGTGGTGTTTAACATGCAGTTCACTGAGCTGAGTAGCACTGTGTTCACTGGAGAGTTGAGGAGATAGAGTCAGCAGGGACTCAAGACTGTCATGGGGCTTTCGTGAATTAGCTCAACCTCATGTGATCTTTAAGAGGGAGGAGAGGACCTGGTAGACCTTAATGATTTAGACAACCATGTAAAGTTGTGAATGTGAGGTGCTGAGGCATTCAGGAAGAGATGAAGAAAGGGGAAAGGGGTGGGTCTCTTCAGGTCACTGAAAAGCAAATGAACAAGATTTGTGATGAGCTAGAATTCCTAGACAGAAAGCCTGTGCTTGTGCATCTTTGGAGGCTGGAAAATAGTGAAAACTTCATTCTGATATTCTGTATGCTGTCCAAACGTGAGATATGGTCCTGATTATGGCCTCAGGAGATGAATGCATGATGGGGCAAATATATAAGTCAACCTATCTCATATGTGATTGGCAGGTGGACTTCATAGGTCCTATGCCTGTCAGTGAGGGATGTAAATATGTCCTCACCTATGTGGATAGGCCATAAGCCTTTCCCAAACATTTATATGCAGGCAAACAATGGGAAAAACCATGATCAAGGGTCTTAGCCAACTCAGTGTTATGTATGGGAACCCATAGAGAATTGATAGTGACAGGAGTAGTCACGTAACAAACACTGATGTTCCCTGGGATGAGAACTGCCAGGTCCAATGATGATTTTACCTGTCTCACAACTCAACAGGGGCTGGGCTGACTGAAAGAAAGAATGGGTTATTAAAACAGGAGCTAAAGAGTTTAAATACAGAAGCTGTCCTGTGTGGGTGGGAAAGGCACTCTCAGAAGCCATGTGAGGTATGCTTACTGGTCCAGTTATGGCACAATTGTCATGGGTGCAACCAACAATTTTCCTATTGGATTTAAGGCCTGTTCCACAGTAGGGAATTCACGTTTGTTACAGTATGCCAGGGAAAAAGCCTGTGGCTGGGGCGGTCATAGGCCACAGTGTGGAAGTAAGTGCTGTTGTTTTGTTAAATGAATGTACTTGTAAGACTTCTAAACATTGGCATTTATGTGCAAGAAACACCACTGCTGTCTGCCTCATTCCTGGAGGGAAACCTAGATTCCCAGTGGGCAGTGGTTACTTGGCTAAGCTGCTGAGAATAAGTGACTGCATCTTGGAATAGTGCTTCCCCCAAAATAGAGAAACATCTATATTCCTGCCTCCAAGGTTCAGGGGACATCATGGAAGAGGAGGTGGAAAGAATGTGAGTTATAGGAAGGGGCGAAGTGTTGCATAGTTCTTTCCTCTGAATTAAAATAGACAAGCAGTGTTCTCCTTCCCCAGACAGCCCAGACCTCTCCTCCCCAGATGGACTGCACTACTCCTCTTCCTTCCCAGACACCGCCCAGGCTCCTCCTCCCTGGACTCAGCTGAGTGCTTCTCCATCTCAGGCTCCTGTTCCTGTGCCTACTTGACACTCCTCCTAAGCTGTTGACTCACCACCAGTTTCCGGTCTCCCGCTGGCATTGAGCTTGGTCTTTGAGGCCTCATGTTCTACCACACATGTGTAAGTGGCGAGTGAAGGGCTGGAGGTGGATGGAATGCGTAGGACACTCCAGGTCTGGAACGTGGTGCTCCCAGGCTGGAGGGTGGGGTGTGCGGTGGCAAACTGGTAAGGGTTCACCTTGCTTTGGACCTCCAACCACGTTAGACGGATGTCTTCCGGGAAGAAGCCGGATACCTCGCACAGGAGCCACGATATCTGTGGATGGGTGGCTGTGGTGAGGAAGCTCACAGAGAAGTTGCTGGGTGCCATGGTCCCTGCAAGGAGAGGTTGGGCCTGTTATTAGCTTGTCGTGCTTGGCATGGAGGCACTAGAGAATAGCTCAGTGGTGTGAGAAGACAGTGACATCCCCTTTCTCATCTGACTGTGGTGCTGGCCTGGACACTGCTCTGTGGGTAAGTGGGGCCCTGGGCAGTCTTGGGGTAAGGGTCGGGGTAGGCCTCATTTGGAGCTCAGGGCTGTCCCTGCCTGGTGGGGGTTCCTAGGGCTTGGTGAGCAAAGGCCTGTACTGGGGACAGTGCTTCTCTGGGTCATTGTCCAGCCCCCAGGCCTGCCCAGTTCCCCTGAGCAGACCTGGGCCTTGTTGCTGTGTGGACTCTAGCCAGTATGGGGGGATGCACTGCAGACTAGATGTCTTTGGTGCTCCATCTGTTCTCTCTGTTCTCCTTACTCTGTATCCTGAAGGACTGGCCAGTCTCTAGTCTTTTCATCTTCCAGCCTGACTGGTGTATGTATAGGGGGCATTGCCATGGAAGTAGTGGGTGAGGGTGAAGCAGGGCTCCTCCTTCTTTTGCCCTGATGGGGCACATGCGATCAGGCTATGGCCTCCTTGGAGGGGCGGAGGCTTTTCTCTTCTCTCCCAAGGAGCCTGGGACCCTCCCTTAGCTGGGAGGATGAGGACTCCGTCTTCCTGTTCTGGGAATGGCACCATCTCTGGTGGTCCCAAGAAAGTCCTTCCCTTCCTCATGCTCCCTGTGGGCCTCTTCTAGCTCTGACCAGATCCCCAAGTGGCCTTTTGGCAGCTCTTAGAGGTTTCTCAGTGTTCAAGGGCATTCCTGTAGCAACGATTGCTGCAGTTCAGGGTGCAGACAGCCAATAAATTATTGAGTTATAGCTCTGCAGTAGACCCAGGGTTAGCCAGAAACTGGGAGTCTCTCCCCTTCCTCTTCCTCCATCTCTTTCAATTAATTTTTTTTGGAAGCAGGACTTTTTGGCATCTGGGTCATTTCAGTTAATGTATTACCCTCTGGATTCATCCTAGCAAATGGCAGATTTCTTTCTTTCTTCAGTAGAATAGAGTCTCACGGTATAGAAGCATCACATTTTCCTCATCCATTCACTGATGGGCACTCGGGTTGATTGCATTTCTTGGCTGCCGTGAAGCCCTGCAGTGAACAGGAGTGCGGACCGTGCCGACTTCGTGTCCTCTGCCTCAGCTACACTCAGAGGCAGAATTCCTGGATCGCACAGCAGGTTTAGCTTTAACCTTGGAGGACCCTCCTTCTGTTCAGCAGCTCTGTGCCTGCTTCCTGCACAGAGTGAGGGCTTCCTGCTCCACATCCTCACCACCACAATTTGATGGTGGCCCGTCTAACAGGTGACAGTTGATGTCATTGTGATTTTAATTTATATTTCTTTGGTGACTAGTAGTGCCTGGTATTTTTCATATATTGTCATTTTAGATCCTTTGCCCATTTTTAAGTCAGATGTGCAGTTTACAAATGTTTCATTAAATTCATAGGCTGTCTCTGTTGCATGGGGACCTGTGCTAGACCAGTGTACTGCAGGCTGACTGGCCTTATGGGAGCTCAGGGCTGGGAAGAATCAGGGACATTGAACAACTCCAAATAGAACTTGTAGTTGAGACTCCTTTCTTGAGCTGGCTGGGTAAGGATGGCTGGCTGAGACAGTAGAGCCAAGAGGGGTTAGCTGAAGAGGGAGCTTCTCTTCTGTGAGTCCTGGGATCTGGCTGTCATGGCCCCAGACCTCTCTCATGACACCCTTAAGCATCTCAGAGCTGATCTCTGTTTTCTGTCTGCCCTGGTCGATATGCCTGTGGTGTCTATGAGGAGACCGTAGTTTGGCACAGACACACAGAGCCTGGGTCCTACTGGCCACGTGGGCCCTGTTCACTGTGCTCCTGTGTGCTCTCATCCTTAATTCAAGAAGGGATGATAGCTTCACAGGACTGGGTAGTGGCATCTGGTGGTACCTAGGTGGGGCCTGGCTTGCAGTAGGTGCAGAAGTCAGTTTGGCGTCCCTCCCTTCTCTGGGATGTGCTTTGAAGGCTCAGGGAAAGAGTCATGGAGGGATTTCTGGAGGAGGCAGTGGAAGGCTGAACAGATGGCTGGGCCAAGGTGCACTGGACTTCTTACCTTCTACGTCCTTGATGGTGGTGGGACTGGCCCTGGTGGGAGTGGGCGTGACTTCTATGGCACGCTCCTCTGCTTGGGGAGATACAATGGGTCCAGGGTGGGGCCGAGTCTTCCACAACTCTGGAATCAAAGGTGCAGTGGACAAGTGAAGGTGAGAGAGCTGAGTACGAGGAGGTACCCAGGGTAATGGAAGGCAGGGGAAGGGGAGGGCACAGCACGGAGGGCCTGGTGTGCGAGTACGGAGGGGGAGGGGCCAAGGAAGGTGCTCTAAGAGCAAGGACTGGGGGCCTCGCTTTAGTCTTTGGGATTAACTGAGCAAGGTTGTGGGAGGAACCTTCTGAACGGTCCAGGGGTACTCACCAGACTGTGAGAAAGTCTTTTCAATGGTCTGGCCGCTGGCTTTGTGAGAGACCACACACTTGGGTGAGCTGGAGTTCAGCTCTGAGGACAACACAGAGAGCTGACTGCTCAGGATGTAGGTTTGATCTTTCTTCTTAGAAGGGAAAGTCACCCACTTTGCGTTGCTTGTTTCTGGCTCCCAGGTGACCGTCACTGGCTCTGGAAAGTACCCAGTCACCAAGCAGGCCAGGCCCATGTAGGTGTTTCTCTTTGGGACTTTGCACTCAGAGGTGGGGAACACGGATGGCCCCTGGGCAGAAACTGCAAGACAAATAGTGGGGTCCTGAGGACGTGGGGATGGGGACCAGGGGAGGGCTAGGGCAGAGTGGGGAGAGCCCTGGGGAGAGCAGGCCTGGGCAAGTAGCCCATGCCTACAGGATTGCTCTTCCTGCCTGATGGGTAAAAATAGTTGCAGACAGGCTGGGGAGAGGGGTTTCAAAGTCCTTTGGTAAGCCTTGGAGGGCTCCCGTCTCTCCATCACCATCATGTCTTTTCTGAACCATTCTATGGACCCCTTGCAGAGAAATCCCTCTCCTGCTCTTCCAAATACCAGCGACCCTGCCCCTCCTCCATGGCTGTAACTGTCTTGGGAATCTGGCAGGATGATCAGCCTTCTCTACCCTTATAGCCTCCTAACCCAACCTGAAAGTATTGAACAGAGTGTCTTCACTCTCTTCTTCAAGCCACACCTTAGGTCCCTCTGGAACACTCTTGTTTCTCATTGAGGTTCTGGGATGTCAGCTATGCCTGGTCTCCTACCTCACACGTGGAGGGGATAGGTATGGTCATGGGGTAAACTGTGTCCCTCACTGATTCACATGTTGAAGTTCTAAGCCCAGAGTACCAGCATCTGTGGTGGGGATGTAAGGACCCATCACCCAACTCTAGATTCACTTTAGGCATCGTCAGCTCAGCACCCCAATACATCATCTATTAGTTCCCGTGGGCTGCTGGGATAAAGCCCCATAGACAGCAGCTTCAGCAGAGGAGCTCTGTTCTCTCCAGTTCTAGAGGCCGGGAGTCTGGGATGCACAGTCCACAGGCTGGGGCCTCTGTGCCGCGGGAAGAATCTGTCCCAAGCCTCGCCCACTTCTGAGGTCATGGCAGGTAGACTCCAGTTGAGACAAGCTGGAGCTGGATCGGGTGGACATCTAGCCCAGCAGGTCTTGGAAAAGGATGTACGTTGTAGACAGACACACAAGAAGGGGAAGCCGTGAAGGTCAAACAGCAGTGGAGGCACTGCTGTTACAAGATCCCGCTGACTGCCATGACCTCAGAGCTGGGCGAGGCTTGGGACAGCTTCTTCCTGCGACACAGAGGCCCCGGCCTGCGGACTGTGCATCCCAGACTCCCGGCCTCTAGAACTGGAGAGAACAGAGCTCCTCTGCTGAAGCTGCTGTCTATGGGGCTTTATCCCAGCAGCCCACGGGAACTAATAGATGATGTATTGGGGTGCTGAGCTGACGATGCCTAAAGTGAACCTGGAGTTGGATGATGGGCCCTGATATCTCTACAAGGGCTACCCAGCGAGGTCCTGCTGCTCTCTGCACCCCGAAGCTATCCCCCTGCCCTGGAACCCAACTCAAGACAGTGGCCATCACCAAGGTGTCATCTCAGATGCTCGCTCAACGACCCTGTGTAAAGCTCTGGCGTCTCCACAGCCCCTTCTACCTGCTGTCCTCTCTCACGTCCTGTCTTGAATCTTCTCTCCACAGACTTCCCATGCCTGTGGACTTCACCAGTTGTCCACACCATGAGCAAGGGAGCTCTCAACACCGCCCTCGCCTCCTGTTTGCAGAGCTTCCAACTCTGAGTTTAAGTACAGCTCTGACCCAGCTCCCCTTCCTTTCCACGCTTGCTCTGCCCCCACTGCCCTTCCTGAGTGACTACAGAGACTTTCTCCGATTCCTTTGCACCCTCCCAACATTTGCCACAGACGGAGGGTTTGAATCCCTGAGCTTTTGACTAACCCCCCCAGGGCGATGGCATTAGCAGGTTTGGCCTTTGGAAGGTGATTGGGTGATTAGTAACCGAAGGAGACAGAACCCAGAAAGACCCCTTTCTCCCTTTGCCACACAGTGAGGAGGTACCAACCACAAACCAGAAAGCCACCCTCAACAGGAAGTAATCTTTTGGCACCTTGATCTCATACCTCCAGCCTTGAGAGGCTTGAGACACATGTACCATTGACCAGGCCACCTGACCAGCAACACTTGTTGTGGCAGCCCAGATGCACTGAGACACCACTTTGCCAGAAAGCTTTCCTTTGACTACCACACTCCTGTCCACATCCATGACTTCGGGTGACCAAGGACAGCTGTCTGCAGTGCATGGTGCCTGACACACTGCAGGAGGGGCACACCCCCCCTTGGAGGACTCCAAGGCCGCCCTTGAGTCTCCAAGGCACACAAAACATGCCACACATGTTTGGAACAAGACCCAAAGTACCCAGGCTTCCTGAACAACACCAGCCAGAGATAGTGGGGTGGAGTGCTAGGCACCCCTGCCAGGCCTGAAGCCAATTTCCAGGTTCTGATCATTTTGGGGAGATTAGGCCTGGAATTTTGTCTGCCTGGCTTCCTTCCTTTCGTCAGGGTGGACATGACAGAGCTGCCACTGGCTGCCCGTGTTGCGTTCCCATCCGTGGGTCCTCCTGTCTACTCCCTGAAAGCCCCTTCTGATGGCTCCCCTCCCCATGTTCTCTTTAGGGTTAGGTCACACCTCAGGGTGTCAACACAGGAGGAAAGGTTTGGTAATAAAACAAATTCCTTCATGATGAAGTGAGTTCACAAGATAAAGTATTTATTTCTAAGTAACATGTGTACATAACACAGCCATGTGCGGAGCAGACACTGTTGCAAGCTGCACAGGTTGGCAAGGCTTTTGTCCAGTCTAGAAAGAAGCCCATCTCAGCACTCAAGGCTGGAGGGCAACACAGTGAAGACGTAGGAACAAGGTTACTGGCCACACAGGCTGGTCCACCCCAGGCCCAGAGGTAGCGGTAGTGCCCCTGTGGATGGGTCTCTTGGTCCCCGGCGCTTTTCCATGCGTGAGTCTCAATCACTTCACCTGCAGGTGACAGAGACAATGTGAATGGCTGTCCTCCTTTAGGGAGCAGAGGCGGGGTAGCGAGGACAGGGGAGCCTGCCTTCTAGCCTGGCACCCTCCTCTGTGTCGGTTCCCTGTGTCCTCCGAGGCCCCACAGCCACACTACCTTGAATAGGGTGACGGTGGTGCTGTAGAAGAGGCTCAGGAGGAAGAGGACGATGAAGGTGGAGGCGGTAGCCCACAGGTTCTCAAAGCCCTCCTCCTCGGCGTTCACCTCCCCCTCTGTGAAGGGACACACGGAGGGAGGGAGGGTCAAGCCGAGTCCTAGGGCAGCTGAGCACCTGCCTACCATGTGCCTGAGAGCTGGGAACTGACTTCTGTTGGGTCTGGAGAGCCTCAGCCAGCGTGGAATGCCCCCACCCTGTCCCTGACAGCTCAGGCTGGACAGAAGCGTAGCACAGGTCACTGAAATGTCACTGGGACCTTGTCCCAGGAGCCCTGAAGTAGCAAAGCAAGCAAGATGGGTGCAGCATAGGGACATGGGATGAGGGCAGAGGCAGGAACCCTAGCAGAGTGGCGCTGGTACATCCTGAACTTTCCCTAAGCGGGTCGTACCACAGGGTCACTTAGACTGAGAATCTAGGTGGGGTACTCTGTCTCCTAAGTTTGGGGGATGGGAGCAGGAGGGAGCCTGGGGCTGCACCCTCCTCACTTTCTGGGAAGGACTCTGGCATCCCAGGTCTCTCTTTGAGCAGAGTTCTTTTGGGTGGCTTGTCCTACCTTACCAACACTGATGGGTCTTGGTATCAGGGGACAAACAGACACCTGAGAGAGACAGTAGGATCAGAGCATTCACTAGGGCCTGTGGCCTCTGCATTGGATGAACCCTTGGTGGTGTCTGAGGTACAGGCCATAAAGGGCCAAGAATACAGAGAGTGTCCAGGATGTAGACCCAGGGAGGAAGTGTTTTGGGTGGGGAGGCCTCAGGGGCTCCTGTGACCCTTGTCAATGACCCTCAGCCTCCACTGGGCAATTATTGTATGCCTTCTGCACTCTAGGCTGGGGAGTAGGGTGGGTGTGAGTGGGACTCATCTTCTGAGATGTCTTGTTAACAGAGGCACAGTCAAGGGTAGCCCTGGGACAGGCCTGAATAACCTGCTCTGTCTGGACACAGCCCAAATCTTGGTTCTATCATAGGTGGGCACTGGGGTATCTGCTGTCCTACACTGATGGGACAAGAGGGCACACTCTGTCCCTGGGGCTGGCTACCTCCCCTGAACATAGGCTGGGCTCTCTGCAAAGCTGCAGTGACCCAGCCCAGCGTGGGCTCTCTGGGCTGCAAACCTTGGAGACAATGGCCCTGGTCAGAGTCCAAGCTGGACTGTGTCACAGAAGCACCCTCATACAGAGACAGAAGGACAGGAGAACCCCCTGGGCAGGAAGCCCTGGAGACAGCCTGGTATAGGGAGTGACAGCTAGAGAGGACGGAGCATCTACTAGAGGTACTTGGGCCCACAGTCCACTTACATGTGCGTGTATGCATGCATATGTATGCATAGCTGTGTGCCATGTCTGGCCATGTATTAGTGTGTACATGTCCACATGTATTGGTGTCTGTTTATGTGTCTCTGAAGGTGTTTGTGGCTATGTGTGTCCACATATGTGTGTTGAGTGCATGTCTATCTGAGAGTAACTGCATATGCTTGAATACTGCCCGCACCAGAGTGGCCGAGCTTCCAACTATAGTTCTGAAAACAGCTAGAGAACAGCAGGCCTGTGCTGTTCGTCTGTATGCGTCCCCCCGAGTTCACACAGAGGCAGAGAGTTGGCAGGCAGAGGGAAGGGACTGCAGGGTGTGGGCAGGGCAGGCAGGAGCATTGCACACTCAAAACCGGCAACTTTTGAATGGATTTTTTTATTTCTAATTTTTATAAAATGCAACATCTTACTCCTCTGACGCAGTTTAGTTTGCACAAACAGAGCGACTGGACCCCCAGAGCCTGCCTGGTAGGGGGCTAGCATGGTCAGTAGCAGGTGCCAGCTGTGTCAGACATGATCAGAGACACGTTGTACAGGGTGGGTTTACCAGTGGACTTGTCCACGGTCCTTTCGGTCACCATGTGGGGCAGGGCCTCGTGGCCCACAACACAGGTGTAGGTCTCCCCGGAATTCCATTCCTCCTCCGTCACTGTCAGCACGCTGTGGGCAAAGTAGAGGCCTGGGGCCTGAGGCTCGGGAATCGGGGCACTGGTCACATACTTGTCCGAGGACAAGGGCTGCCCCCTTTGGAGCCATTGCACAAAGACATCTGGAGGAGAGAAGCCCTTCACCAGGCAGGTAACTGTGGCTGTCTCCCTCAGAATCAGCTGCTCTCGGGCTGGTGGCAGCAGGTACACGGCGGGTGGGTGCTTGGCCACCTCTGTGAGGAGAGAGGGTGGTGAGCATGGGGGTCGACGGGGACCTGCCCTCCCAGTGAGGTGGAGGGAAGGCCCTGGGAGCAGAGGGGAAGGGAGCCACGCCTACCCCTGGGCTTGGAGAGCGTCTTCTTCAGTGGCGAAGGCAGGTCCCGGTGGGTCACGGTGCATGTGAACTCCTCCCTGCTGTCCCAATCCTCCACACAAACGGTAGCTTCACCTCTGGCACTGAAGGTGCTGTTGGAGTAGCTTTCGGAGAGTTTGATGCTGGTTTTCAGTGCCTCACCACTTTGGCGAGCCCAGGAGATGTTCAGGCTCTCATAGGAACCCAGATTTGTGACCAGGCAGGACAGCTTGGCTGACTTGGTAAGGAAGATGTCAGCAAAGGAGGGGGAAATGGGGAAGGCTAGGATGTCTGTGGGTGGACCAGCTGTCAAGAGAGCAAGGGTGTTAGCAACTGGTTAATTGTAAAGTCAGAGAAAAGTTTAGCTTCCCCCCAGGAATTCCAACTGATTTTCTGAGCTTCTGAGGTCCTGCTTAAGGGATAGGAAATGGGGAAGGCTAGGATGTCTGTGGGTGGACCAGCTGTCAAGAGAGCACGGGTGTTAGCAACTGGTTAATTGTAAAGTCAGAGAAAAGTTTAGCTCCCCCCAAGAATTCCAACTGATTTTCTGAGCTTCTGAGGTCCTGCTTAAGGGACGATCCTGGGTCCCCAACTGACCCTTAGCCCCTGCTGCCCCCTGTCCCTGCCTTTGGCCGCTCTGGGAAGCCAAGGCTCAGGGAACAGATCTGGGTGGGATCAGCTATACCTATGGGAGGGTTGCCCTGGCCTGGGAGGGGTGGGCATTGGGCTTAGGACGGGCCACTCACTGGAAGCACAGGTAGAGGACACGTTCGTCAAGATGGTGAACCCATTGTGATCCACGCGGCAGGTGTACACAATCAGGTTCAGCCAGTCGGTCTCGGTGATGGTCAGTGAGCTTGTGACCTTGTAGGTCAGGGGCCCTGGTCCTTTGGGCTCGGCAGTCACCTTCTCTGTGGTGAAGCCGGAGTCCACAGGTTTCCAGTCTCGTAGCCAGGACACTGTGATCTTCTTGGGACTGAAGTTGGTGGCCTGGCAGATGATTTTGGACAAGCGTGGTGCAGGGCCAGAGAAGGCATTACGAGGTGGAACAAACATATTCACATTGGGGGGAATGTTTGAGATTTCTGGAAGGAAAGGGCAGGGTGTCAGCCAGCCTGGTCCAAACCTGCTCCCCCTGAGCCGTGCAGGGCCCTGGCCCGCTCCAGGGAGGGGCGGGCTCTTACCTGGAATGGACACATGCAGGTCTCTGTTGTTGTTGCCATGCCGGACTTTGCATGCCAGGTAGTCATCTGAGCCCGCCATGAAGTCCTTGGGGGACAGGAACACCTGCGAGGCGGCCATGTACTTGTTCCCCGACAGCAGTGTTGGAAAGGTCCTGACGCCCTGGAGGATCTCAGAGCCGTTCTTGTAGTTCCAGGAGAAAGAGATGGAGCTGGGTAGGAAGTCCCGTGCCAGGCAGCCCATGGTCACCAGATTCTCATCAGACAAGGGTCTCTCGCAGGAGACGAGGGGGAAGACAGTTGGGGAGGACTGACTTGCTGGGGACCCAAGAGGGACGAAAGAGAAACACGGAGGGGTGAGAAGGTGTCGTCTTGCCCCTGCCAGTCAGGGGCTCAGTTTACACTTCCATGGCCCTGTGGTTGCTGCTCCCATGGCAGGAGGGTTAGACACTGGTGTGGGGCTACTGTGGGGCTGCAGAGGAGGCAGTGCATACTGGATTGGGGCCGCTGTGGGACTACAGAGCCCCCTCCAGCCTCCTCCTGCTATAGTAGCATGACTTTGGAAGCGTGGGTAGACAGAGGAGAGGTACCTGCTGGAGCAGGTGGATCTGGCCCTTCGGCCATCTTCAGCCAGCTCCATGAGCACTGATACCTACTCTCCTGGCAGGCCTAGAACCTGGCTTTTCATGCAGGCTTGGGTCTGCCCTGCTCTGCTTCCCTCTGAGACATCCATCAAGAGACTAGCATTCTAATCTCAGAGCAAAGGAGTCAGGCTTCGTGTCAGCACGTGAAGTCTGAACCTATACACCCAGAAGTCACACTTACGGTTGTTCTGAAGCCTCCCCACAAGGCCTATGTGGGGTAGGTGGAAGGTGGGCTATGGAGGGCAGGGACCTAGTATGGAGTCAGTTTGTCATTCCATCTTAACACAAGATCTGTCCAGAACAACATCCAGAACCAAACAGCAAGTGAAGTCCAGCCTAGCTCAGCCCTGCTCAAGCCAGTGTAGCTCAGCTCAGCCCAACTCCGCCCAGCCCTGCTCAAGTCAAGACAGACCAGCTCATTTCAGCCTAACACAGCTAGTTTAGCCAAGCTGATCCAGCCCAGATCAGCCCAGTGCCCAGAGCAGCACAACCTAGATTAATCTAATCCAGCCCCATCCTGCTCAGCCCAGGTTAGCCGAGCAAAGCTTAGCCCACCTCAGTCCAGTTTAGCCCAGTGCATTCTAGCTCAGCCCAGTACCCAGAGCAGCACAGCCTACATCAATCCAATCCAGCCCCATCCTGCTCAGCCCAGTTTAGCCTAGCTAAACTCAACCCAGTTCAGCTCAGCCTAGCTCAGTCCAGGTCAGCCCAGTATCTAGAGCAGCACAGCCTAAACCAACCCAACCCAGCCCAGTCCTGCTCAGCCTAGCTAACTCAGCCCAGCTCGGTTTATACTGGCTTATTCCAGCTGGTTCATCCTAACCTAACTCAGTTTGGCTTCATTTAGCCCAGCTCAGACCAGTTTATCTTAACCCAGCCCAGCTCAGGCCAGCCAGCCCAGCTCAGGCCAGCTCAGCTCATCTGGTTTATCTCTTCTCCATCTGGGCTCAGCTCATTCTAGCACAACTTAGCCTGGTTCATCGTGGCTCATTCCAGCTCAGCTTATCTGAGCTCAGATTAGTTCAGTCCAGCTCAGTTTAGCTAGCCTAGCCCAGCTCATCCAGTTTAGCCTAGTTGAACCCAGTTCAGCCCAGCTCACTTATCCTGGATCAGCCCAGCTCCACGAGTCCAGCTTAGTTTAGCTAGCCCAGCCTGGCCCATCCCAGCTCAGCCTAGCACAGCACAGCCAGCTCATCCCAGCTCAGCCTCATTCATCCAGACCCAGTTAGCTCAGTTTACTGCAATTTAACTCAGGCAGCCCAGCTTGGCTCAGCTAGCCCTGCCCGGCTCATTCCAGCTCAGCCTCACGCATCCCAGCCCAGCTACCTCAGTTTACCTCATCCCAGCTCAGGCAGCTCAGCTTGACTCAGCTAGCCCAGCCTGGCTCATTCCAGTTCAGCCTAGCTCAGCCCAGCCAGCCCATCCTGATCACCCCAGCTCAGCCCAGCTCAGCCCAGCTCAGCCCTGCTCAGCCCAGCTCAGCCCAGCCAGCCCATCCTGATCACCCCAGCTCAGCCCAGCTCAACCAGCTTAGCCTCACACATCCCGGCCCCACTAGCTTTCTTACCTCATTCCAGCTCAGGCAGCCCAGCTTGGCCCAGCGCCCAGCCCGGTTCGTTCTAGCTTAGCCTAGCTCAACCCAGCTCAGCCTCCCTCAGCTCAGCCAGCCCATCCCAGCTCTACCAGCCCACCTTAGCTCAGCTAGCCCAGCTTGGATCATCCCAGTTCAGCCTAGCTCAACCTAGCTCAGCCCAGCTCAGCCTCATGTATCCTGGCCCAACTAGCTCAGGTTGCCTCGTCCCAGCTCAGGCAGCCCAGCTTGGCTCAGCTAGGCCAGCCTGGCTCGTTCCAGCTCAGCCCAGCTCAGCCTCATGTATCCTGGCCCAACTAGCTCAGGTTTCCTCGTTCCAGCTCAGCCCAGATCAGCCTCAGGCATACTGGCCCAGCCAGCTCAGCTTGCCTCATCTCAGCCCAGGCAGCTCAGCTTAGCTCAGCTAGCCCAGCCTGGCTAGTTCCAGTTCAGCCTAGCTCATTCCAGCTCAGCCTAGCTCAGCCCAGCCAGCCCATCCAGGATCACTCCAGCTCAGCCCAGATCAGCCTCAGGCATACTGGCCCAGCCAGCTCAGCTTGCCTCATCTCAGCCCAGGCAGCTCAGCTTAGCTCAGCTAGCCCAGCCTGGCTAGTTCCAGTTCAGCCTAGCTCATTCCAGCTCAGCCTAGCTCAGCCCAGCCAGCCCATCCAGGATCACTCCAGCTCAGCCCAGATCAGCCTCAGGCATACTGGCCCAGCCAGCTCAGCTTGCCTCATCTCAGCCCAGGCAGCTCACCTTGCCTCATCTCAGCCCAGGCAGCTCAGCTTGCCTCAGCTAGCCCAGCCTCGCTCATTCCAGCTCAGCCCAGCTCAGCCCAGCTCAACCATCTCAGCCTAGCTCAGGTAGTCCGTCCAGCCTGGCTCATTCCACCTCAGCCTAGCTCAGCCCAGCTCATCCCAGCTCAGCTAGCCCAGCCTGGCTCGTTCCAGCTCAGCCCAGCTCAGCCCAGCTCAGCCTAGCTCAGCCTACCTCTCAGCCAGCCCAGCCCAGCTCAGCTAGTCTAGCCTGGCTCGTTCCAACTCAGCCCAACTCAACCAGCTCAGCCTAGCTCAGGTAGTCCAGCCTAGCTTAGCCCAGCTCAGCCCAGCTTAACCAGCTCAGTCTAGCTCAGTCCAGCCAGCTCAACCCAGCTCAGCCTACCTCAGCTCAGCCAGCCCATCCCAGCTCTACCAGCCCACCTTAGCTCAGCTAGCCCACCTTGGATCATCCCAGTTCAGCCTAGCTCAACCTAGCTCAGCCCAGCTCAGCCTCACGCATCCCGGCCTAGCTAGCTCATTTTACCTCATCCCAGCTCAGGCAGCTCAGCTTAGCTCAGCTAGCCCAGCCTGGCTCATTCCAGTTCAGCCTAGCTCATTCCAGCTCAGCCTAGCTCAGCCCAGCCAGCCCATCCTGGATCACTCCAGCTCAGCCCAGATCAGCCTCAGGCATACTGGCCCAGCTAGCTCAGCTTGCCTCATCTCAGCCCAGGCAGCTCAACTTGCCTCATCTCAGCCCAGGCAGCTCAGCTTGCCTCAGCTAGCCCAGCCTTGCTCATTCCAGCTCAGCCCAGCTCAGCCCAGCTCAACCAGCTCAGCCTAGCTCAGGTAGTCCGTCCAGCCTGGCTTGTTCCACCTCAGCCTAGCTCAGCCCAGCTCATCCCAGCTCAGCTAGCCCAGCCTGGCTCGTTCCAGCTCAGCCCAGCTCAGCCCAGCCAGCCCGTCCTGGATCACCCCACCTCAGCCCAGCTCAGCCTAGTTCAGCCCAGCTCAGCCCAGCTCAACCAGCTCAACCAGCAACCTAGCTCAGGTAGTCCAGGCTGGCTCATTCCACCTCAGCCTAGCTCAGCCCAGCTCATCCCAGCTCAGCTAGCCCAGCCTGGCTCATTCCAGATCAGTCTAGTTCAGCCCAGCCAGCCCATCCTGGATCACCCCAGCTCAGCCCAGCTCAGCCCAGCTCAACCAGCTTAGCCTCACGTATCCCGGCCTAGCTAGCTCATCTTACCTCATCCTAGCTCAGGCAGCCCAGCTTAGCTCAGCTAGCCCAGCCTGGTTCATTCCAGTTCAGCCTAGCTCATTCCAGCTCAGCCTAGCTTAGCCCAGCCAGCCCATCCTGGATCACCCCAGCTCAGCCCAGCTCAGCCTAGCTCAGCCTAGCTCAGCCTAGCTCAGCCTACCTCTCAGCCAGCCCTGCCCAGCTCAGCTAGTCTAGCCTGGCTCGTTCCAGCTCAGCCCAACTCAACCAGCTCAGCCTAGCTCAGGTAGTCCAGCCTAGTTTAGGCCAGCTCAGCCCAGCTTAACCAGCTCAGTCTAGCTCAGTCCAGCCATCCCATCCTAGATCACCCCAGCTCAGCCCAGCTCAGCCCAGCTCAACCAGCTTAGCCTCACACATCCCGGCCCCACTAGCTCTCTTACCTCATTCCAGCTCAGGCAGCCCAGCTTGGCCCAGCGCCCAGCCGGGTTCGTTCTAGCTTAGCCTAGCTCAACCCAGCTCAGCCTACCTCAGCTCAGCCAGCCCATCCCAGCTCTACCAGCCCACCTTAGCTCAGCTAGCCCAGCTTGGATCATCCCAGTTCAGCCTAGCTCAACCTAGCTCAGCCCAGCTCAGCCTCACGCATCCCGGCCTAGCTAGCTCATTTTACCTCATCCCAGCTCAGGCAGCTCAGCTTAGCTCAGCTAGCCCAGCCTGGCTCATTCCAGTTCAGCCTAGCTCATTCCAGTTCAGCCTAGCTCATTCCAGTTCAGCCTAGCTCATTCCAGTTCAGCCTAGCTCATTCCAGTTCAGCCTAGCTCATTCCAGTTCAGCCTAGCTCATTCCAGTTCAGCCTAGCTCATTCCAGTTCAGCCTAGCTCATTCCAGTTCAGCCTAGCTCATTCCAGTTCAGCCTAGCTCATTCCAGTTCAGCCTAGCTCATTCCAGTTCAGCCTAGCTCATTCCAGTTCAGCCTAGCTCAGCCCAGCCAGCCCATCCTGATCACCCCAGCTCAGCCCAGCTCAACCAGCTTAGCCTCACACATCCCGGCCCCACTAGCTCTCTTACCTCATTCCAGCTCAGGCAGCCCAGCTTGGCCCAGCGCCCAGCCGGGTTCGTTCTAGCTTAGCCTAGCTCAACCCAGCTCAGCCTACCTCAGCTCAGCCAGCCCATCCCAGCTCTACCAGCCCACCTTAGCTCAGCTAGCCCAGCTTGGATCATCCCAGTTCAGCCTAGCTCAACCTAGCTCAGCCCAGCTCAGCCTCACGCATCCCGGCCTAGCTAGCTCAT